CACGTGATAATAATGTGCTTTGTGAATTTCACCCTTTTGATCTTTCCATTAAGGATCGGGGCACGAGGGACATTCTTCTTAGTGGGCGGTTGTGCCAGGGCCTCTACCGTCTGGAGCATCCTGGCGTCGCTCGCGTTTTCAGTGGAGTTCGGGTCTCTCCGTCACAGTGGCATGCTCGTCTTGGTCACCCGGCCACACCTATTGTCCGTCATATTTTGCGTCGTCATGAGCTTCCTAGTTTGTCTAGTAATAAAGATGTAGCAGTGTGTGATGCTTGTCAGCAGGGGAAGAGTCATCAACTTCCTTTTTCGGAGTCCAGTCGTGAGGTGAAACATCCTTTAAAACTTGTGTTTTCAGATGTATGGGGTCCTGCTCAGACTTCTGTCAGTGGTCATAATTACTATATCACTTTCGTTGATGCTTATAGTCGCTTTACCTGGCTTTACCTTATTAAACGCAAATATGATGTGTTTGATATTTTTGTTCAGTTTCAAAAACATGTTGAACGTCTTCTCAAGCACAAAATTGTTCATGTCCAGTCGGACTGGGGGGGCGAGTATCGCAACCTCAACTCCTTCTTTCAGTCGCTTGGGATAGCTCATCGTTTAGCATGTCCACGTACACATCAGCAGAATGGTTCAGTCGAACGTAAGCATCGTCATATTGTTGAAGCTGGTCTTACTCTTTTGGCCCATGCATCTGTTCCGTTTCGGTTTTGGAGTGATGCTTTCACCACTGCATGCTTTCTCATCAACCGTACTCCCACTCGTGTTTTAAACATGAAGACTCCCATTGAGGTTCTCCTTAATGAACAACCTGATTATACCTTTTTCAAGGTATTTGGGTGTGCTTGCTGGCCGCATCTTCGTCCATATAATAAGCGCAAGCTTGAGTTTCGTTCTAAGAAGTGTGTTTTTCTTGGCTATAGCTCTCTTCATAAAGGTTACAAATGTCTTCATGTTCCCACTAATCGTGTCTATATATCTCGGGACGTCGTGTTTGATGAGCATGTTTTTCCCTTTGCCAAACTTCCTGTGTCCACTGTCGAACCACCATCTCTGCATTCATCCTCTGTTGCTTCTGACCAGTTTGATGATGTTGCATACTCTCCTTTGTTGTTACCTAACCATGGTGCAGGAACCGGACGTGGGGCTCGTTTGGAGCTGTTGGAGGATTCACCATCATCATCGCCGCCTTCTGATGGGCACGTCGATCGCTCTATGTTGCATGGCATCGATTCGCGTGCCCATGCATGGTCACCCGAAGAGCCCGTTGCGCCGAGCATCTCCACTGCTCGGTCCGCTACGCCAGCGACCGCTGAGTCTCCAGTGGCTCGGCCCTCTTCGCCAGCGGACGTCGAGTCTTCAGCGGCTCGGCCTGTCACGCCGTCTTCGCCCGCGGCTCGGCCCGTCACGCCGTCTTCGCCTGCAGCTCGGGTCCGTGACGCCGTCCTCACGTCGCCTTCATCCGCGGATCGGCTCGCGACACCGGCCGCGCCACGGCCCACTATGCCGGGCTCGCCATCGGTCCGGTCTGTGACGCCGGCGTCGCCAACTGCTTCGTCTGCTCTGCCGGTTTCGCCGGTGGGCCGGCCTTCTTCGCCGACCGAGCCCGAGGCTACTGTGTCTGGCTCCTCGTCACCGGCTGACTCGTCAATGTCGCCGTCCTCCAGCCCGTTGCAGGCTGCTCCGTCGACCTCGGTGGTTCCTGTGTCCCGACCACATACACGCAGTCGCAGTGGCATTTTCAAACCTAAGGAACGTAAGGATGGTACGGTTGCTTGGTTGGCTGCTTGTTTGGCTGCTGCTGTTGCGGATCCATCTTCTGAGCCTCGCTCATATCAGGCTGCCCTGCGCATTCCACATTGGCGAGAGGCTATGGAGCAGGAGTTTCATGCTCTCCTTCGTAACAAGACATGGACTCTCGTTCCTCCACCACCACGGGTAAATGTCATTGACTCAAAATGGGTATTCAAAGTGAAGAAGCATTCGGATGGATCTATTGAGCGTTACAAAGCGCGACTTGTTGCTCGCGGTTTTCGGCAGCGCCATGGTCTTGACTATGAGGACACCTTCAGTCCTGTCGTCAAGCCTACCACTATTCGGCTTCTTCTCTCCATTGCTGTTTCTCGTGGTTGGTCACTTCGTCAACTTGATGTGCAGAATGCTTTTCTACATGGATTTTTGGAGGAAGAGGTTTATATGAAATAGCCGCCTGGTTTCTCTGATCCTGATCGTCCTGACTATATCTGTCGTCTCTCCAAAGCACTATATGGTTTGAAGCAAGCTCCTCGTGCCTGGCATGCCCGCCTTGCCTCTGCCCTTCGTGCTCATGGGTTTGTGCCGTCCACTGCTGACACTTCATTATTTCTTCTACAGAAGCCAGAAGTCACTATGTATCTTTTGGTATATGTCGATGATATTATCCTTGTCAGCTCTTCTCAGTATGTTGTTGATGCTCTTGTCTGCTCTCTTGGTGCTGATTTTGCGGTCAAAGATCTTGGGAAGCTTCACTACTTTCTTGGAGTTGAGGTCACTTCTCGTGCTACTGGTCTTGTCCTTACGCAGAAGAAGTACTCCTTGGAGTTGTTACAAAGAGCGGGCATGCTGAAGTGCAAACCGACCACCACACCCATGTCGTCTACCGACAAGATAACAGCTGTTGATGGTGAGCTTTTGTCTCCTGTGGATGCCATAGAGTACAGGAGCATTGTTGGTGGACTTCAGTACTTGACGATCACGAGACCAGATATCTCTTATGATGTTAACAGGGTTTGTCAGTATCTTCAGGCTCCCAGAGATACTCATTGGGCTGCTGTTAAACGCATTCTTCGTTATGTTCAGTTCACCCTGACATTTGGTATGCATATTCGGCCAACTTCCTCTCGGGTCCTTTCGGCCTTCTCTGATGCAGATTGGGCTGGTAGCCCAGATGACAGGCGATCCACGAGGGGTTATGCAGTATTCTTTGGCCCTAATTTGATCGCCTGGAGTGCTCGGAAACAGCCTACTGTGTCGCGTAGCAGTACTGAAGCTGAGTACAAGGCTGTGGCTAATGCTACTGCAGAGATTATTTGGGTGCAGTCTTTGCTTCAGGAGTTGGGTTTGTCTCAACCACAGCCTCCTATTCTTTGGTGTGATAACATCGGTGCTACATACCTTTCTGCAAATCCAGTATTTCATGCCCGAACGAAACACATTGAAGTTGACTATCACTTCGTACGGGAACGTGTATCACAGAAGCAACTCCAGATCAAGTTTATCTCATCTAAGGATCAACTTGCAGACATCTTCACTAAGCCTTTACCTCTGCCACAGTTTGAGGCTTGTAGGCGCAATCTTACCCTTCTCAGTTCTTTAGAAAGTGGCTAAGATTGAGGGAGGGTGTTAGACTATGTATAGCTTCTGTACTTATGTACGTATTGTAACACATCCATTATATATAATGAGATAAGCCACCCCTAGAGGGTTGTGCTGGTTCCCCCAAAATTTATTGTCTTACACCGCGCTGTCGACCACCGCACTGAGGCATGACAACCGCGGGAGACCCATCATGACGGAGGGCTTCCAGCTTGGCATGACAGCCCCGGCGACGCCGTTCGATTGCGGCGCAGGGTTCATCAACCCTGCCGGCGGAATGGACCCCGGACTCGTTCTCGACTCTGGGTTCGACGACTACATCAGTTTCCTCTGCTCATTGCCGCAGCTCAGCCCCGATGATATCCGAGGAGCCACCGGAGCGGCGTGCCAGTCGCCAGACTCGCCACTGGATCCTCCGCGGACCTCAACCTGCCGTCCATCACCGTCTCTGCGCTGCAAGGGTCTCTGACCGTCCGTCGCAGGGTGACAAACATGGCGAGCAGCGCCGAGAGATACCTCTGTTCCACCCTACCGCCGGACGGAGTAGCCGTTGGCGTGCGGCCGGGGTGGTTCGACATTGCTCCCGGAGAGACACAGGAGGTTGTGATTGAGATGAATGTGAGCAGGGCGTCAGGGGCTTTCAGCTTCGGAGAGATTGTCCTTATTGGGAGCCTAGATCACCTGATTAGGCTGCCTCTGGCAGTAAGGCCACCTGCAACCACATGATTAAGTGTAAAAATGGAAACAGGAGATGCTTAATTAATATGGTACACACATTTGCCTTTTCAGAACATAAAATTATTATGGCTGAAAAGTCACTGATACTGTTAGATAATCAGGAACAGCATCAAGAGGCTTTGGATTTTACTAATTTACACGTTACAGGTGATAGTAAATCACCATGAAATTAGAGAATGTGTCTACATAGTGCCCATAAATCTCTGAATCTCTTCTCCATGTATTTTACTAGCCATTTCTAGTTCTGAATGGAAGGATCCTTGACAACCAAGCCAAGGATGAAGTTCCGCCTAGCTCAAGTATCCGAGATTACACCGGGAATTGCGACCCAAGATAGTTGACACCTTACGCAGACCACCTACAAAATAAAATGCAAATTCTGCATCTTATGATTATGATTTGGCAGTAAATAGCTTGCAAAGTATGACGTAACCCCTAAATCTCTGAAGGCCTCGAGTTGCTGAACTAAAGTATATGAGTTCATATCTCGTGTTTCAACACTAATTTGATATTCAGACTCGTCGGGCAATGCAGAGTCTTGGATAGCTTGTTACCATAACAAAGATCAGGACAAGTAAAAATGCAAATTCTGCATCATATGAGTTGGCAGTAGATAGATAGATAGCTTGCACGATAACCATTTCAACTAAAAGCTTCAATTTTTTGAAGAAAAAAGAAAGCAGATCGGTTCATTTCTCGTGTTTCAACGCTCATTTGATATTCAGACTCTTAGGACCGGACCTTCAATTATACAATAACTTATTCTTAAGTGTGCATCTTACAGAAAAAATGCCAGACCATCCAATATACATACCCTGATATCCATATTAACACACTGATACTATATGAAGATGCAACAATACATTTTGGAGAAACTGAGCAGGCAATAAGAAAGAGTACCTGTTATGAATTGTAGTAACACATCAGCTGCGACTGAAGAAAATAGGAATCCTTATATTTTCTGCCACTCCCAACGTGAATGCCATTTTTAATCCAATCTTCTCTATGGATCCAAGCATCACGGGTAGTATCAAGGACGCCCAAAATCTGTCCGAGCGTAAAGTAGGATTTAGGGACCCAAAACATTGGAGCACAAGAAAGGACAGATATAAAGGAATGAGCAAGACACCACCTTCAACAAATGATAGCCAAATTCAAAATAGATACTACTTACCACTCCACCTTTCCATGGGATAAACAATGGATTCCTCCTTGACAGTAATACCTATGAATTTAAAGTGAGAGGTTAAGCCAAGACAAATAAATCATGAATCTAAATTACGGTATAATGTAAAACTGAGATATAAACTTCACACAATCAATCAAGGTATGTTAATTTCAAGAAATGGAGTGTGCATTCTAATTTATAAAAAGATACAGATGCATATCCTTGCAAGAAGACATACCTCAACCTTCTCAACGGGTTGATTTGATGGAATAGTATTAAGAACCCTGATAAAAAAGAAAACAAAATTGATCAATAAATTTATTGTTGATTTCCAAGATATTATGTTAAAAAAAAGTCAAGTGTCATTAGTATTTTCTCCCCAAAACACAGGGGCCACATCAGCAATTTTTATTGTAGCAGCTCTGTGCTATTCATTTTTACAAACAATCTTTCAACAAACACTTATTAATAATAACTAGTAAACATAAAAAGGTTCAGAATAGTTGCTTGGTACACTTGTAGCTACATAGGGTGGAATATTTCTATTCGTTAGCGCAATTATTCCAGTAGTCTTCCTTAAATAACGCCAGAAGAAGGTAACAATTAACCTTTGTTCGAGAACTGGTGCAAGACCTGTTGTTGAAGCTGCACCACCAACCTGCAAAGAGCATTCCTCTCAACTATTGCTTCTTGCATCAGAGCAATACTGATATGAAAAAACAACACTGATACTTTACCAGCTGAATACTACAGAATAGCTTCCTTTGGAGGTCAACACGTCCTGTTGTAGGAAGTTGTTAGAAAAGATTTTCTCTCAGGGAAGCAAGATACAGTACTAAGAAAGAGACTACCTGTTGAAAGAACACTGCTGACAATGGCTTCTACGAGGCCGATATTATCGAACTTCTTTACTCTAGTGGGAAGCATTTGATAACTGTCCCATGCACCAAGCCCACCATTTCCAGAAAGACCGTCGTTTGTTTGCCATGTATCTTCCAGCATGTCATCACAATCTTGGAACCTGCAAACATACACATATCTTGTCTGAAGAAATCATCGTATCAAAAGGCACAATCACCAAAGTAGAGAACAAAGTCTCACCAAGGTCGGGGAGGTGGAGGGAACTCTTCTGGAATGAGAAGCCGAGGATAAAGAAGCCCCATAGGAGGAACCTATTTTATCACAACAAATTTGAATTTGTAGATATATGATCTAGTAGGAAACACTTTAAGTATAAATATAATTACTCTCCAACTACAACTCAACCATCACCACAGATTTTACAAAAAGAGAGTGAAGGAGCGAAGGAGGGAGCAAGAGTGCCTGCATGGCTTTCTTTTTGCTAAGAAGAAATAAATACCAAAACATTGTGCACGTTTTCAAAACAAACCCTCAGCAAAAAAAAAACAGACAAAAGGAGAAGAGAATAAGTGGTTTAAAAAAATTACGCTGAGAGCTGACAGCCTTGTCTTCTGATGCCCAACAGACTTTTCATGCTCATATGAATGAACAACAGAAACAGCATCATAACTTCCGCTCTGTGGAAAAAAAATACTAGAATAAGTTCAAGGGAAGCATTAAGAATAGAATATCATTTCAGTTTAAGAATTAAGAAAATCAAAGTTCAGAGGAGGAGGTTGCATGTTATGGGTTCAAGCATCCACTGAAAGACTGCAGTTCTTTCTGGTTTCTACATATACTAGTTTTGTCCATTTTGATCAACAATTTGCACACAAACCGTGCTAATATATAATATGTCAATATATGAAGTTCAAGTTTACAACGAACTCATGTCTGCGTTGATAGATGATTGTATTTCATGACTAAGAGGACAACAAGGGAAGGATCTGAAAATGTAAGCGTAGCAACACCAAAAACAAATGCACTACGAGCAGCACATAGGCAAATAGGATAGCTCCAAACCAGATCTCTTTGTCTTCCTAGAGGATTCAGTGACTTACACATACAATAGAAACAGGAGATATGCCCTATGTCATCAGCGCATTAGATTATTCATCTTCCTATGTCCCATGTATGAATGTTTCCACAAGGTCGGTTACTAATTTACTATGCTTTGACGAGATAGGACAGAGCTCACAAACAGAGAGATTTAGAGAAAAGGTTTCAGGTTATGAATGCATTAATTCTAGGACTGCTCTAGTCCCATGCACTGGAGAAATTCTGTATATATGAATTGTGTGAAGGCAGATGCATATGTTATTGTGGTTTATCCTCTTTGTATACACTTTCAGATGAAATTAATCAATATACAACAATACTATAATGAACTTTGCGCGTTAGACACAAATCTTACTTTCCAACAGGAAAATATTCAAACTGAAACACAAGCAGACTGTCCAACAATCAAATCCTTTACAGATACGAGCTTTCAAGATTTAGTAAAGCTTAGAAGTTAGAACAAGCCACTTACCCTTATCTGGCTATATCCCTCTTTTATCTTGTTGAGCATTAGCATATCTATAGGCTTCTTCATGGGATCGGTTTTAAAGTTTGGCCATGTGCGATGACGTTGTTGAACCCAAAGTAGGCATCTGGATATGTCCTACAAAAGAAAAGAAAAATGGCAGAGGATGTAACAAAAGGAAACATAATGAAAATAATAATATAGGGCACAAGCAATTGACGTTCAAAAGCCATAAAAACAAGTCATGCAGTTATACAAAGTAAAGTGGGAATATGATCATCAGACTATCTAGCATGTAGCCTCAAGGGAGATCCTCCGTAAAAAAAGAGCACTTGATAACTGACAATAATACCATCCAACAATCATGTTATAACTAAGGTGACATCACAATGACTGATATTTACAGAAATATTCCATTAAGTTGTCTGGCAAATCAGTGTCATCCAGAAAGGCCCAAAAATCATCAGAAATACTGTCATGTAATGGTTCAGCCAATTTTCATTTTAAAGCCAAATCTACCCCTGACAAGCACCCACACTCATGTACTCTTCGGGCCTTCCCTCCCTCTCATTGCCACTTAAGGATCCAAGCCCCCCCACCCCTAACGACTTGTGCCAAGTGCCACTGCCAGTGAGTTCTGGTTGCCATGATACTTCCCCTGCCTTTGCAATGGCATATTGCTAGATGTTGCTCTTTGCAATGACAGTGGCATAATTTTTCAAAACCAAAGTACAGCCAAATCTCAACTGGGAAACTACTCAGGAGGAATAGATTGTTGCTCATATTTGTAAGATGATATTATACTAAAAACAGGATGAAAGAGCTAAAATATGCATATTTTCCGATTGGGAAAAAAGTGGCATGACACAAAGTCGTACACAACAGTCACATAAGACGAAACCTAACAAAAATTCGTTTCTCTGACAGAAAAAAGGGACTGGGTGCATGATAGTAGATAACTTGAAAAATAGAATCACAGATTTCTACCATGTAACGAAATTATACAGATATAATGACCATAAACAACAGATTGCTCGAGTAACGGAAATATCTTGTCTACGTTAAAGAGAACAGTTGAGAACATACATCTCCACCATATGGAAGTGCCAAAGCTGTGTGGGGCAAAGCTACTCCATCCTGCAAACATTCAGGGCAGATTATACATTAATATGATGATATCTAAATTTCTTAGTGGTTTGAAAGAAATATAGAAGTACTACCTCCGTCAACTAATATAAGAGCGTTTAGATCACTACTTTAGTAATCTAAACGCTCTTATACTAGTTTACAGAGGGAGTACTATGGTTATTACCTCAACACAAACTACTTGTGTAACTTGAGCACCAATGTTGACCACACAAGCTGTCGACAAACCATTCCCAAATGCCGCAGCTAGAGCTTCCTAATTAAATATTAACATAAGCAGAGTAAATAAGGAAGCTCAATTTTCTTCACGTTTCAATTTGTGAATCACCAAATACAAGAGCTTGGTTATGTCTCTACAAGTCTATAGTCTGGAAAGGTATTCTAGACAAAAAAAAGTCTATAGTCTGGAAAGTGGATAATATTACCCAAAATGAAGGTATCAAATTCTAGTTTCTCGTTAGTAATATTACATTAAACTTAACTGTCATAGTACTATAGTACACTACTATAGTACTATATTAGTAGGGATAAGCTAAAATTAGAAACAGGCAACTAGCACGAAAACAACTCCAGAAATGGGCTAACTCCAACTGTACAGCACACCAGATTTAAAACATGAAAGTTAAAATCCAGCCTTTAGGTGCAAAATATTAATATTGACCCAATAGCATGAAAGGGTTCATGAGTACCTGATTTAAGGTACCAAGCTGTTAACCATTCTGGGATGAACGGTCCAATTAGGCAATTACTTTGCTTAGCAATTGCAAATGGAGAAACAAATCTTGCATTCAAAACGTAATAGAAAGTAAATGCGAAATGGACGATTGGGGACGAACCTGATGTACCACTGCCGTGCTAAACCCCAAATCGCAAAGTACAATGGACAGCATTTCTTTCATTTCTGATGGATGGATATATATTAAGAAAATCACAATTTAAAAAAATTAAGAAAATCTTCCTTATGCAGTAGAACATGCACATTGCACTGGAACTGTAGAAGGTGTTGAAAAAACATAAAGCAAACAGTATGTACTCAAGATTTCCTATATGAATCCTCAATTCAAGGCTATTACACTAACGGAGTAATGGATCATGGATGTCATGAAAGAATCTATTGAAGAACTAACGGTGTAGATTTCTCTCATTGCTAAGGAAGTGTGTTCTGCCCAGCATAGAAATACATGTTGAATGAACAGATTTGAGTTGTTAGGAGTTCCGGAAAAAAAATTACACATAAACATCAGTATTGCAAGAAAACATGGCATTGACACCTAGTCCAATGCTGGAAATTGTGATTTTCACATACACAAGATATTTCTGCATTTTTCTTCCTGCAACTGTTGTTCAGTGCCGTGTAATTTAGGGAAAATAATAGTGAAAGGTATTCATTGCTGTTGTACATGTGGGATAACTACAGTGTTGATGTCCAAATTGACAGGTAAAGCAAACCGAGGTGATCTTTGTTCCACAATCCACATCAGTGTATACTACCATGCAGAAGGTGGCCAGATGACATGGATGAAGATTGAAGGAGAGGGACTTAAGAAGAAAGAGACAATATATTCGGATGATGAACTTTAGATGGGAGATTTAATTTTTCAATGCTTGCTTAATAATGAATAGTGAGTGCATGATATGCCTTTACTAGGGTGACAAACTTGATTTGAAACCTAATTAACTGATCTCTACCTGCATGATATGCCTTTTCTCGGGCTGACAAACCTGATCTAAAACCTAATTAATGGATCTCTATCTCTAACCAAACTTATCTCTAAGGGCATATACAAAGGTAGAGCAGCTGCTGACTTTCAACCTTTCCAGGTCATCTTAAGTCAACAGTCAACACCAAAGACATCTTGTGCAATGGGTTATCTCTTAAGCCCTTTACACAAAGAGTCAATACTAAGGGACAACAACGTTCGGTGGTATTGGGGTAGACTCTTCGGCTTTTGCCTCTTTAGAGTCAGGGCTTTCGCCATTATAGAGCCTGAGTTTCCGTGAAGAGATAACTTTCCACTCTTTCCTCCACGTCAGCCATAACGCCTGTGAGTGAAAAGTCAGCTACGGCTGTGTACACGCCCTAATGCATGGAATATATCTATAAGGAATAAAACCCAACTAACAAGGAGACTAATTATTTTTGTTTCATCTTCTCAACTAATACTGCTCCAGCAGGGGCGCATGTGAAGAGCATGCTGCTGCTACAGCCGTTCTAGAGCCCCGTGCCTGAGTTTCTTAGGTTACAGTTGTGGACAAGGGCGTACAGCTTTTGACTTCGGAGTTGCCAAGATCTAAGAAGCACGGACACGGGGACGGAAAGACGGGGATACGCATACGGGGACACGGGATACGGCTTTTTTCAAAAATAGCCATTCGGGGATACGGCAGGATATATAAGTATTTTAAAAAATTAGATGAAAGATTCTTATTTAGTACTGACATATGTTGCCTCATTTTTAGATGAAAGATTGTTTTTCTTTTTCTTTTGAGGATCACATGGTCACTTTACACGACCCTGCACTCAGAGCCCATGTAGCTCTCCACTCAGAGCCCACATAAGGCCCAATTCCAGGAAACCCTACACAAGTGCTCCTCCAGCTGTTCCCTACCCCGTGCTCCTCTTTCCTCCCTGCCCCAGCCGCCAAGAACTGTAGCGAGGAGATGAGACGACCACTCCTCGCCTGTACCTTCTTGCTAGTCTACGTCTTCCCTTTCAATCCACCCAAATCTTCTTTCTCCCTGCCCGGAGCTTTTTCCTCGCCTGCAACCACCTCGCCTTCTCCTCTCTGCCTGGATCTTCTTCCCTGCTAGCGACCGTCGAGGTTGCCAGCTCGAGCGTGGCACCCGTCGGAGGAGAGCTAAGCAGCGGCGTGGTCGCTGGAGGCCAGCTCCCGAGTCCCCCAACGTATCCCCACCGTATCTATGCCGTATCCCGATTTGTTTCTCTTTTTTTTTATTCAGATAAGATGGGATACTGCGGGATTCGCGTATCCCGGCGTATCCCCGTGTCCCCCGTACTAGAACGGCAATACGGCAGTTTCTGCCGTATCCATGCTTTGTAGGCCAAGATGACAATCGGCCAGCCTTGGGATTGAACTAATGTCCTTCAATATGATGATTTCTTGATATTACAATGGCAGACTCCCTTATATATAGGTTCCAGAGACGAGGAAAGCTTGAGCAAATTTCAAGGATAAGGCAAGCGAACAAACTTAAAAACTAACTACCTAATTATTACTAAGGTTATCCTGCTCCACCTGAGGATCATGTCACCAGCCCTAAAGGATACTCAGCCTTGCGGTGCACATATGAGCAGCACTACATGACAAACATACCTCCACATCACAGGTAGTATTACATGAAAAGAAAAATACCTCGGTTGTCAAATGTTTCCCCAAGAACAAGAATTGCAGAATATAGATGTCTGTCCTTTGGGTTGATATGCAACTTCTCTGTCAGCATCCGGTTCCAAATAGTGCGCAAATCTTCTAAAACCTGCAACGGCCAATATTTGCTTTTCCAAATCATCTACCATTATGATGCTATATATAAGGAAAAATAATATGGTTTGGTAACCAGTTAGAAACACAGGATTATCATGTGCATCGTCTCTTTCCCAACACTTTCTGCGCCAGATACCATCAATTTCAACCAAGAAAAAATATTCCAGCTGTGTTTTTAATGTAAATTTCCTAATATGTAGGCCAGGGTTTCAACTCATGACCTAATTCTTAGTCTTTCTTTACAGTTCATCACTGGCAGCAAACAAATGCAGTAAAATAAAATAGACCATAAAGGCAAAGAATAACAGGCAATATGGAATAATTTTAGTTCTTAGCTTTGAACCCAAGCTCCACAGTTGTTAGCATAAGGACTTCATGGTTCAATTCCATTAAGCTAATATAGATACTCTAAAATATTAGAACACAAGACTTTATATTTAAAATTTAATAACTGCCTTACCGGCAGAATAAACTGCTCAAATTTATGTTTTACCAGTGAAGTAGCTGCAAAACTAGGTAAACCCTTTCGTGTAAATATGGTGCCTTTAGTCTATGCAGGCTGCACCGGGAGCTTTTTCATGAAGATCTGTTTAGGATTGGCTGATGGAACATTTGCGCGCAAAGAAATAGGCAGAATTTCTACGTGTTCCTACTAATTGTTTCAGATGGAAGAGATTGGGTTAAAGCCTTGTTCAGTACATTTCAGTAGACCTCTCTCCTACTGTTTTCCATAAATTTCAGTAAATATTTGCAACTGGGTTGACCAAAATCCTGGCATAAATTTGATTCAAAACATTTTTGCCCTTGATAAATAATGCTGCAAGAAATATCATTCCCCATACTGATTAAAGTGGAGCCAAAACAATACACCCCTACTAGATATTTATAGAACTGACAGTGTAACAATGGAAAGTCTCAGCCAATGAACTCAAACTTTACTTTCCATTTGAAGGGCAAAGTTGTTTAATAGTAGTACATACCAAGAGCGGCATTTACTATAACTAACTGCTTCTTTTAAGATAAGGATCATACAGAATCTAGAGGCATACCTGATGTAATGAATAATTCTGAGAAATATTAAAATGGCCTCTCCTGATCGGGCGACCCAAACAGTATGGTGCAGAAGGAGGGATTTTCAAAGCATCCTCTCCAAATATCATTTCCTTATACTTGCTTTCTTCGGAGTTGGACTTGTTACCATCATCAGATGTGCTTTGTGAAGGATCTTCATCGGCGTCACTGTTTACTGACCTTTCTGGCCAATTTGAGGGGTCGTCAATACTTTGATATTATAAAATGCTCTGAAATATATGCTGCAGAACTGCTCTTTGAACCTACTGTTAATATTTCACAAACCCAATGAACTGAGCATAACTAAGTAACTCTGATTATAGTGACAAAAAGTCAGAAAATTGATATAACTCCAACAATTCCACTAAAATTGTGTGACGCCCCACCGAACAATCTGAAGCAGCTAGACAAAACATAGTGATTGATGAGATTGTTCTCATGGGTACATGCCGTATGTAAGAAGAGATGGGACAAAAAATAAGTGGATCTAGTACCAAAGCAATAGCTAAGCTGACATAAGAATTTTAGTCCTCTAGGCTTCAGAGCTAGCTAGCTCCAGCACACACACAAAATCATTGTGTCAGAATGTAACATCCAAGGTGTAGAACAAAGCGCCAACACCACATAGGCACAGAAAAACATAACAACTCACTTAGGCTTTTCTCCTTGATTCGCAAAAAATAGGTTAATGTGGATTTAGACTCGTTCCTTTTTTGTATACATACAGTCCAAACGCATGAAAAATCTGATGTGGTACAAAATCAACCACAACCATGCACATGAGTGACACAGGCCAACACTAACTGAGGACAGGTGTTACATGTAAGTCACACCAAAAAGAATTACAGTTTCCTTCTTAAAAAATCAAAAATGTCTTCAAAACATAAGTACACTGTAACCTTTTATTAACGACAGAAGATTCCAAAAATGAAAAAGGGGGGAAATAAAAAGGTACTTCAGTTAAAGAACCAAAAGATCGGAAAGTACCAATTGACGTGGATGTCTTGATCCTTTTGTCCATCACATCTGTCCATGTGAGTATACTATCATCTTTGTTTTGCTGTGAAGAAAGACCATCAAGACGTCCCATCTGAAGTGGTCAATATAACCAAATCAGCAAAAAGAGACCACAATTTGACCTTTCTAAACAAAAGGAAATTGATGCCAAATCATATAATACTACATCTATATTGCACACATCAAACAGGCATAGTTGTTGAAATATGGATTTGTAAGATTGCAAGAAATGGCAACAATTTCCGAACTTGGCAATAGGTAATTCAAACGTAATTCTATAAATTTGGAAGAGGGTGGATAAACTAATGAGTTCATATTACTACAAATTTAGAATATTCACATGTAAATGCATGGCTCATACTTTAGCATTTCCTTTAAGAATATGTATAAATGTTTGAAAAAAATCTCCCGTATTTTCATGGATGGAGGACCAGTGCAAGAGGTTAGGTTTACCATATAATGTAGTATGTTGAACTTATAAAATTATAAGGACAACCAACTAGGTAATAGTTTAAACCCTGAACCCTAGGTAAACTCGGCTTATAAGCCTCAATGCCCAAAGCTTATCAAATAAGCTCGAGCTATGTTCTATTATGTTGTCCCTGGCTTCAGCTTACTAGGATTAAAGATAAAGTTTAAGCTATAGAGCAAACAAGTCCGAAAGTTCCCTTCCTCCCACTCGCTGTATGTCCCGTAGTGAACTGGATCATTATCAGAATATTATCATAATGCAACCTAGTGCAGATCAAATAATTTCGGCAACCTAAAAATTAAACAACTAATTTAGTGAGATGTAGCATATGGCCACTGTTTCATCGGTAAATTGCTCTAAGTATAGCATGCAACCTGATAGATGGACCAAATAACTCCTCCAGAAGCATAAGAATAACCATTGATAAGTAATCAATGTGTAGGAAAAGATAAATGAATTGCCCGTACTCAAGACTAGTTGGACATCACTATGGAACTTCAAGGAGACGAGACCTACATCCGAGGTGATACTTTTCCAATTATAATATGAAGAAAAGCTTAAGCTGGGTGGCAAAAGGTTATATATCCTACCATCACAAAAACAGGTGTGCAAAATATTCATCACATAGACTGCACACAGTACCTTAGGAGGTAATGGCTGGTTCTCTGAAGGAGATACTTCACCCAAAAATGGGATTTTCAGCATTGAAGCGATCTGCAAGAGTCAGGCCTGATTAGTTCAAGCCGCACACATGATCCAAAGTAATTGCGAGAAGTAGATTTTTACAATATCATACGCCCTCTCCCGTTCTGCATTGTGCGTCAACCCAGCACGACAGTTGAGCCTCTGCAAACCAAAACAACAGTCACACACTGGAGATTACATCGATGATGTTCCAATGCAGGTACAGCAAGGGTGAACCATCCCTGCATTTGCATCACCTGGTCTCGCACCGACAGCTTCGGCGCATCGTTCTTGTGCCGGGCAATGCAGTGCGGTATATTGAACGGCACGTCCTGACTAGCGAACCCCATGCGCACATTCATAGAGCCTGCAAAAGGGAAGGGTCCTCGGTCAGGTGGCAACGACCATGTCTCAAGGCAAAAATTACCACCGTATAAGAAGACAAGAATCCTGCTTCACACATATTCATCAGTTCTAGAACCTCAGCGGTAGTAATATCGTACAAAATCAACCTTCTGATTCACATTATGCGTTTCACTAGTAGCTCGAAACTAGCTCGAACTACACTACACACGTTGCTTTTTACACCCAATTTGGATTCCAACAGGCGTGAATCGTCAGAACAAACAGGCGAAGGAAAATGCGCATCTAGAAGACGAGCGAGCGATTAAGCCGGATTGAGGGATTTCCCTCCAGCGGGGCGGGCGCACCTGGGTTGATGACGACGAGGTTGGAGCCGCGCTCGGCCAGGAGCTGCGACGGCACCACCGTCTTGAGGTAATCCTGCGAGCACAAGCGTGAGCAGCAACTCGCTAGGGTTTCTCGGGAGGGGTTTAGCTCGCGGCGCGAACCGAGCCCGCCGGATTCGGGCGACCTGGAGAGGGGGGAGAGGGGATGGCGGAGCTCACCATCTGGTCGTCGGCGGAGGCTGGAGGCTGGAGGCCCGAAACGGCGGCCGGAGTTGACGGCGGGGGCTCTTCGCGGCGGAGCGGGGTTGGTTGTGCTTCCCGACCGCGGGTCAGGGGGCGGGAGGAGGCAGCGTCGGCCGTCCGATCGACATCGAAGATCGAACGGACCACGTTATCGAGCGTGATTTCCCTTGGCTCTCCTACTTGCGTTGGGTTTGAATCCAAATTCGACCCGATTTTCTCGGCTATTTGAATTTGTTTGGAATCATAGGACACGATACGACTTTTGTCAGCCTTGCAAAATACGAGTAGTTTGTAAGTATAGCTCTACAATCTATAAGTGGTTTTGTCTTGCCACAGGCATAGAAGTATGTTTGTATGAAGAATAACGGCATGCGTAGGCCTTGCCTGAGTTGCGTTTGGTACCGTGGTAGATTATGATAACCCAGCTTCTTTGATCAACTAGTATTTATTTTAACCATTTGTTTAACCCTTATCTCTAATTCAACATCTATTTTCATAACTCCAAACTCCAAAGCTCACGAATAGTACTTATTTGTTTAACCATTTGGGTCCAAACTCCAAACACAAACCAAAATCCTGTGGAATGGATCAACCACGTACAAAAAACACTAAATTTGACTTGATGAATACATCTATAGGACTAATAAGAAATTATTACAACACAAAACATATCTGCATTTTCCAGGCAAAAACAAAAACATGTCTGTATTGCTGGATCGAAGAGGACACGCTCGAAAAATCAACGGCAGTCAAGAATGTATCCTTTGATCCTGAATGGAGACAAGCAGTTTTCTGTACCAAAACACAGGACTACCGTACCAAGGCATAAAACCGACCACGATAAAAGCGAAAAACAGAACTGAGCAAGACGGCTTAAAACTCCTACATATCGAATTCTGCAGGTCCCCAGCTCACGAATCCTATGGGCAAAAAGCGGGACATGTACTGCTCCAAAAGTATGCGTAAAACACGACGAGTTTCCATATTGATAGCTTCCCCTCCTACCACAATCCCCTTGCTGGCTTCAGGTTGTCTTAGCCTTTGCGGCCCTTCTCTTGGAGTGCCTCCTTGGGATGGAGTTCTTCATTCCCAGGAAGAAGAGCAGCGCGCCAAAGAGGGCCAGGTTCTGAGCAGAGAGAGAGAGAGGAATCTGAGTTAGAACACCTGATGACAGCTACTGATGGAACTGTTCAAAGAAGGTGAAGCTTTTCGCTGAGTGAGATTTTGTGTAACAAACCTGTGAAAACATGGTGAAGAGCTTGACAAATTGCTGGGACTCCATCTCGTAGTTGTAGAAGTCGTACACGACAGGGGTTATGAATGCCAAGTAAACAAGCTGCACAAGTGAGCCGCATCAGTATTTCCATGTTCCAAAAAAGAAGTAAAGAAAAGTATCAGGGGAGAAAGAGCAACTGCAAAACTAACATAATAAATGCAGTCATTTTTAACATGGATTAAATATAATTGGTCCCATATAATAAGACGGAATATATATTTGGTTTCTTTATATATAAGCATAAACAGATATGCCCAGTTATCATGGACTGATGTTTCAAAGAATTGTTGCATTGTCACATATAGATAACAATTCAAACAATAAATATAAACATAAACGCATAACTTTGTACTAAGGAAAATCAGTTGCACAAACTCAACAGACATGAGTCTATCAAGTGGTTAAACAATAAGAATAACCTGACACCACATTTGGAATCTTTCAGGAAGGTTAGTGTTAAAGCATTCCACTGTCAGATGCTACAACAGGATATATTGCAGAAGCAAAATGTATGAAGATCAGACATCGAAGCAGCAACAATGCCAGATTTGGCATTTTACAGCCAGTGAAATGGACACACTAAAACTTTTAAAACTACCTAAATGGCATGGCAACAGTACTTGCTTTTTATTAGTTTGAGAAGACATGCATTCAATGTGAGCCACAATAGTATGCATCTTGATGCCCCCTTAACATAAGATAATTCTTGATACAGTGCACGCAGAAGAAGGGTACACACCAGTACGAGCGCTCCAAACGAGCTGCTGATGATGAAAAGGAGACCACCAAAGGCTTTAAGAAACATGGTGAAGGCAATGACAGACTTGATCTGCAAACAAACAGAACAAAAGCCATAAAAAACAGGAACTAGGTGAATGGATCCTTAAAAAGGAAACAATGATGTACAATGGGGCAAGCAACCAGAAAATATCCATACGTCAATGTGTGGCACCGCCATCCCAATGCCGGCGGAGACCTGCTTGACGAACAGGTTGAACTTCGGTTTCAGAGACTTTGCTGCTGGTCCTCCATCGGTTCCAAACTCACTGAACCTGCATGTACATTGGAAGCACGGAGAAATTCGGCAATTAGAGAGTGACACTTGAGCTGTACAGCCAGCTCGGAAGCATAACAGGACTAGCATAAGAACCAATACAGCACTTTATGTACTACCAGATAAAAACAGAAATTCAAACAATAACATGGCCCTTGACATGGAAACAATTCTGCAGGTATATACCAATAAAATGAGGTTGAAGGAGAACCAAGAGCCCCAAAAAAGGCCAGCAGGGTGAAGCTATAGCTTGCTAGCTATGCGCCATTGGTGTCTGTACGGCCAGCTCTGAAGCATAGCACGGGTAACACAAGGAGCGACACAACACTTGATGTACTAGCAGCATGGAAAATCCGGCATCGAACCAAAAACGCCAGCAGAGTGAAGCTAGCAAGCTAGTAATAACGAGCGAGCCGCGGGTGAAGTGCGCATTCTGGAAGAGGTTCACGGCGAGGCGCTGGCCTTGGAAATATCTGGACCAGACGGGGTCGTCGCTCGCAGGAGCATGGTGCTTCAACCGCTACGCTATCCGCATGGAATGGACCGCCTGCCTGATCCGAAACGCTGGTCAGCAAGCAGGCAACATGCGCGCTCCCCGTGCGCCTCTGCCTCTACGATTTACCACGGCGGGTCGACATGTACCCTGCACCGGCCAGATCTGCCGCGACGGGCGGATCCACCGACGCGGCGCCCGGCCGGATCTCACAGCGGCACCGCGTCCGCGCAAACCAACCCTCGATTCTCCCAAGCACAGGCACCGACGAATCCGTCCCCGGGAGGCGGCAGGACGGGGACACGGGCGAGATCTGGCGGGGCGAGAGGAGGGGGAGGGGAAGGAAGGGGGATGAAGTGCGCGTGCGTACTCTTGGTAGGCGGAGAGGAGGAAGACGGAGGCGAAGAGCACCCTCCCGACGAAGGAGACGAACCCCATCTCTGCTGGCCCTGCCCTGCCCTTCCTCGCCGCCGCCGCCGCTGCTGCTGTGCCTCCGCCTCGAGCTCCCCGCCCGCCTCTGGTGTCTGGTCCTCGGTCGCGACGACGACTGGGCTGCCCGAGGGAGAGGAGTGGATCGGTCGACCGATCGGGATGGATTTGTTTTGTCTTTGTCTTGTTTTGCGTCGACGGACGGACGGACGGATGGTCGATTCCGTGTGGGGTGCGACGGCGATGCGCGCGTGCCACGTCGCGTTTGCCGACGCCTCGCTGCGGCTGCCCTTCCGGACGGGTTCCGCGAAGATCGCAGTACACTAGTGGACTACGAGTTCTTTTTTTTTTTGAAAGAAATGTACTAGGTGGTCGACGAGCCCGGCATGGATGGAGACGGGGGGTTTTTTTTTCTCCGTCTTCGAAATGGTAATGGGCGAACGTTCACGGGGAAGCGGCTCCCGGCGAACATCAAATGGATGGCATGTAAAAAGAATCACACTCCATTCGCTGGCAATTCTCCCTTTCCTGCGTGGTGAGCTCGTAACAGACGCTAGGCTTTCGCTGGCGGTCCCCTCTCGGCGAGCGTTCGCCGCATCCCTTTTCTTTTCTCTTGAAAAGGGGCCATCGGGTTCATTACCCGAAATCCAACATTTTTTTACCACGCCTACATGAGGAGACAAGAAACTACGCGTAGATATGTGGAGGGAGTCAGATGTTTGTCTGCCTCCCATAATGAGGTGATGGCGCGGCTCCGTTGTCTCCCCATTACCGTAGCCGGCCTGACTTTTGCTTAGTGGTTAGGAAGTCATCGAGGTTACGAACTAGCTGGGTCGGCGACTGAGAGGAGAGCCTAATGCTGGATCAGTGAAGGATCTCGCTGGCAACCATCCTAATGCGCAACCCTGAAGACGACCACCACCCAATTTTTGGCTCTTGTAAACCTCCTCCATTTAAGCAATTGTTGTTGAACTAGGGTCCAAGCCGGAGAAAAAGGAATGTAGATGTTGCCATCTGTGCAACCTTTCTTCGAGCTCGTAGAGTCGGGTTTCCCGATTACCCACAATGAAGTGCGATTGTAAGCATTAGCTTTATCTCTACTACTTAAAAAAGACGTATGGTTCTCTTTCCTGCCGATTACAACACTTTGTCTCTCTTCGTTTTGATTTTCCTCTCCAATTTTTAGTTTTTTCACAGTTTTTTTGAACCATTGCAATTGTTTATCTTTTATTGACTTACCAAATAAAATCATGTTTTCTTTGGCAAAGTCAATAAGTTGATAGAAAATAAATTATTACCAAATAAATCCTAAAAGGATTTAATAAAAAAATATTTATAACAATCACATTAATAAAGATAGATAAATCATGGCTAATATAATAAAATATTTATACCCGTTGCAAAGCATGAATAATTATCTAGAAGTCGTGCTTTTTGAGCATCAGTACTAATACGTTTATGTTCGCATGCCATTATTGTTTACTGTTACTTAAATACAAATCTGGTGTGTCACGTTTCCTAGAGGTACAAATCTGATCCTGGGATCAGAGATGCGTCCTATATAATCATTATTGAAATATCATATCATATAGTTTAAAGGATTATGAAAAAAGGCGTCCATATATTGGACAAGTATAAACACATATATGTAAAAGAAAATGAACATAGACACTCATTGACTCATATATACACACTTACACCCATCTCTATGAAGGTACACACGTACATCCACCTTTATGAGGGTACACACATCCAGACTACTCCTATGAGCACCTTCAAGAGACTGGCCGACACAACATCTTGAGATTGACGAAATCATCACATACGTCTTCGTAGTCGACGGAAACGTCTCCTCTCACTGAACGCACACCACGGAAATAAATTCAGAAAAATGCGGACCATCAATGATTCATGAAAACGCACACCACCAGTTGACTTTTAAAAATAAAGCTATACACACTACATTACAAATGGATGGGGTAGTATTTTTTTTCCACAAAATTCCACATCTATTTGTGGATCTGTCCTTTCCTTTGCATGCCTACTCTCCTTTTTACAATTGATTTGAGTATATATAAATCTTGATTTGTTATTTTGATGTACAAAAACCTTAATTTGTCTGAGCATGATTCGAGTCCTAGTAGAAGACCAAACCGAATGCATACGTACGCGCTGAGGTTTCCGTCGCAGACACCGTCCAAACACTGGACGCGGGAGCCGCCGGAGGGAACGTACGTGGCATCCATCCGTCGCCGGCTGCGGGCCTTTCTTCTCCTCCCCGTCGCTGTCGCGGCAAAATTTCAGCACTAGCGGCTGAAGCGCGCTCACCGGTCACCGCTAAGCTGGCAGATAAGAACAATCCGACAGCCAAGCCGATCGCACTCGCGCCACCAACCATCTGAGCACCCGCGGCCGTCGCCACCAACCATGTCGGCCGCCTACGACCGCGCGGCCGAGCTCCGCGCGCTGGACGCGACCCTCGCCGGCGTGCGCGGCCTCGTCGCCAACGGCGTCACCCGCGCCCCCCGCATCTTTCGCGTCCCTGACGACGTCGACGTCCATGAAGCGCTGCAGGAGCCCACCGGCGGCCGGCAAGAACCTGCAGCCATCCCGGTGATCGACCTCGGCTGCGGCGACCACGCGGCCGTGGTGGGGGCCGTGGGCCGGGCCGCGGCGGAGTGGGGGTTCTTCCAGGTCACAGGCCACGGCGTGCCTCCTGAGGTCGGCTCCTCGGCGTTGGATGCGGCCCGGGCGTTCCACGAGTCCGCCGGCGGCGAGGGCACCGACAAGGCGCGGCTCTACACCCGCGACCCGGCCAGGGCCGTCAAGTACAACTGCAACTTCGACCTGCACGAGTCCAAGGTGGCCAACTGGCGCGACACCCTGTACCTCCGCGTCGAGCCCCACCCTCCCAGCGCCGGCGACATGCCGGAGTCCTGCCGCCGGTACGTGTTCCACTGAGCCTGCACTCCAATAATTTTAGCTAGCTCGACAATGCCCAGATGTACTCTGGCTATCGTCCACGTAGTAGTCAACTTTGACTTACATGCATGCAGTGACGTGTTCTTTGACTACGCCGAGCACGTGAGGAACCTACGGGACACACTCTTTGCCCTGCTGTCGGAAGCACTTGGCCTCCACCCCAACCACCTAGCCGACATGGGTTGCAACCATGGCCAGATGATACTCTGCCACTACTACCCTCCATGCCCCGAGCCCTCACTAGCCATCGGCACCACCCGCCACTCCGACTCCGGCTTCCTCACGGTTCTGCTCCAGGACGGCGTCGGGGGGCTCCAGGTCCTCCACGAGAACCGGTGGGTCGACGTCACGCCAACGCCCGGGGCGTTCATCATCAATGTGGGCGATCTCTTACAGGTACATATACACCCTCACAACTGAATCATGCTAAAAATCGCAACCGAAAAATGCTAAAGGCATACCTGTGTCTCGCCTCTTGGCTAGATGATCTCGAATGACAGGTTTAGGAGCGTGGAGCACAGAGTCATTGCGAAGAACGATGCACCGAGGGTCTCGATCGCATGTTTCCCAAGCAATCCAAGTTCGGAGAAGATATATGGCCCCATCAAGGAGCTGCTGTCGGAGAAGAACCCGTCGTTGTACAGGGAGACACTCGCTAGGGATTACGTCGCGCACTATTACTCTGTCGGATTGGGTCCCAAGATGGCCATCAATGATTTTCGTCTATGAAATGTCAGAAAAATCCTTTATGATTTCGGCAATAAAGGATTAACTAATATGTTGATTTTCCCCGACACTTTACTAATATGAACGTATGACAATATGTTGAACTAATAATTAACTAATTAGTAGCTGATATGATTTGGACTTTAGTAATTCTGATATGATACTTACATGGTTATATACTTAGTAGGTGACAGACCTATTGCAGGAGCAGATGCAGACGTTCTGAACGTTTGGCTAGCTCAATATGATGACTACTTGATAGTTTAGTGCACCATGCTTAACGGCTTAGAATCAGTGTTGGGTTTCGTAGTAATTTCAAAAAAAAATCCTACGCACACTCAAGATCATGGTGATGCATAGCAACGAGAGGGGGAGAGTGTGATCTACGTACCCTTGTAGATCGACAACGGAAGCGTTAACTTGGTTGATGTAGTCGTACGTCTTCACGACCCGACCGATCAAGTACCGAAACTACGGCACCTCCGAGTTCTAGCACACGTTCAGCTCGATGACGATCCCCGGACTCCGACCCAGCAAAGTGTCGGGGAAGAGTTCCGTCAACACGACAGCGTGGTGACGATCTTGATGTACTACTGTCGCAGGGCTTCGCCTAAGCACCGCTACAATATTATCGAGGACTATGGTGGAAGGGGGCACCGCACACGGCTAAGAATATGATCACGTGGATCAACTTGTGTGTCTAGGGGTGCCCCTTGCCTCCGTATATAAAGGATCCAGGAGGGGGGGTGCGGCCGGCCCTAGTAGAAGGCGCGCAGGAGGAGTCCTACTCCTACCGGGAGTAGGACTCCCCTCCCTTTCCTTGTCCAAGTAGGAGAGGGGGAAGGGGAGAAGGAAAAAGGGGGGGGCGCCGCCCCTACCTCCTTGTCCAATTCGGACTAGAGGGAGAGGGGGCGCACGGCCTGCCCTGGCAGCCCCTCCTCTTCTCCACTTTAGGTCCATGAGGCCCATTAACCCCCCCGGGGGGTTCCGGTAACCCCCCGGTGCTCCGGTTTTATCCGAAACTTCCCCGGAACACTTCTGGTGTCCGAATATAGCCGTCCAATATATCAATCTTTATGTCTCGACCATTTCGAGACTCCTCGTCATGTCCGTGATCACATCCTGGACTCTGAACTAACTTCGGTACATCAAAACTCATAAACTCATAATATAACTGTCATCGAAACCTTAAGCGTGCGGACCCTACGGGTTCGAGAACAATGTAGACATGACCGAGACACGTCTCCGGTTAATAACCAATAGCGGAACCTGGATGCTCATATTGGCTCCTACATATTCTACGAAGATCTTTTATCGGTCAGACCGCATAACAACATACGTTGTTCCCTTTGTCATCGGTATGTTACTTGCCCGAGATTCGATCATCGGTATCCCATACCTAGTTCAATCTCGTTACCGGAAAATCTCTTTACTCATTCCGTAATACATCATCTCACAACTAACTCATTAGTTGCAATGCTTGCAAGGCTTATGTGATGTGTATTACCGAGAGGGCCCAGAGATACCTCTCCGACAATCGGAATGACAAATCCTAATCTCGAAATACGCCAACCCAACATGTACCTTTGGAGACACATGTAGAGCACCTTTATAATCACCCATTTATGTTGTGACGTTTGGTAGCACACAAAGTGTTCCTCCGGCAAACGGGAGTTGCATAATCTCATAGTCATAGGAACATGTATAAGTCATGAAGAAAGCAATAGCAACATACTAAACGATCGGGTGCTAAGCTAATGGAATGGGTCATGTCAATCAGATCATTCACCTAATGATGTGATCCCGTTAATCAAATAACAACTCTTTGTTTATGGTTAGGAAACATAACCATCTTTGATTAACGAGCTAGTCAAGTAGAGGCATACTAGTGACACTCTGTTTGTCTATGTATTCACACATGTATTATGTTTCCGGTTAATACAATTCTAGCATGAATAATAAACATTTATCATGATATAAGGAAATAAATAATAACTTTATTATTGCCTCTAGGGCATATTTCCTTCAGTCTCCCACTTGCACTAGAGTCAATAATCTAGTTCACATCGCCATGTGATTTAACAGCAATAGTTCACATCACCATGTGATTAACACCCATAGTTCACATCGCTATGTGACCAACACCCAAAGGGTTTACTAGATTCAGTAATCTAGTTCACATCGCTATGTTATTAACACCCAAGGAGTACTAAGGTGTGATCATGTTTTGCTTGTGAGAGAATCTTAGTCAACGGGTATGTCATATACAGATCCGTAAGTATTTTGCGAATTCTATGTCTACAATGCTCTGCACGGAGCTACTCTAGCTAATTGCTCCCACTTTCAATATGTATCTAGATCAAGACTTAGAGTCATCTAGATTAGTGTCAAACTTGCATCGGCGTAACCTTTTACGACGAACCTTTTTCCGTAATCGAGAAACATATCCTTATTCCACTAAGGACAATTTTGACCGCTCTCCAGTGATCTACTCCTAGATCACTATTGTACTCCCTTGCCAAACTCAGTGGTATGGCATACAATAGATCTGGTATACAGCATGGCATACTTTATAGAACCTATGACTGAGGCATAGGGAATGACTTTCATTCTCTTTCTATTTTCTGCCGTGGTCGGGCTTTGAGTCTTACTCAACTTCACACCTTGTAACACAGGCAAGAACTCTTTCTTTGACTGTTCCATTTTGAACTATTTCAAAATCTTGCCAAGGTATGTACTCATTGAAAAACTTATCAAGTGTCTTGATCTATCTCAATAGATCTTGATGCTCAATATGTAAGTAGCTTTTACTGAGGTCTTTTCCTTTTAAAGAACTCCTTTAAAACACTCCTTTATGCTTTGCAGAAAAATTCTACATCATTTCTGATCAACAATATGTCGCTCACATATACAAATCAGAAAGGCTGCAGTGCTCCCACTCACTTTATTGTAAATACAGGCTTCATCGTAAGTCCATATAAAACTATATGCTTTGATCAACTTATCAAAGCGTATATTCCAACTCCGAGATGCTTGCACCAGTCCATAGATGGATAGCTGGAGCTTGCACATTTTGTTAGCACCTTTAGGATTGACAAAACCTTCTGGTTGCATCATATACAACTCTTCTTTAATAAATCCATTAAGGAATGCAGTTTTGACATCCATTTGCCAGATTTCATAAAATGTGGCAATTGCTAACATGATTCAGACAGACTTAAGCATCGATACGAGTGAGAAAATCTCATCGTATTCAACACCTTGAACTTGTTGAAAACCTTTTGCAACAAGTCGAGCTTTAGTGGATAGTAACACTACTATCAGTGTCCGTCTTCCTCTTGAAGATCCATTCATTTAACATTGCTTGCTGATCATCGAGCAAGTCAATCAAAGTCCATACTTTGTTGTCATACATGGATCATATCTCAGATTTTATGGCCTCAAGCCATCTCGCGGAATCTGGGCTCATCATCGCTTCTTCATAGTTCGTAGGTTCATCATGATCTAGTAGCATGACTTCCAGAACAAGATTACCGTACCACTCTGGCGCGGATCTTACTCTGGTTGATCTACGAGGTTCAGTAGTATCTTGTTCTGAAGTTTCATGATCATCATCATTAGCTTCCTCACTAACTGGTGTAGGTGTCACAGAAACAGTTTTCTGTGATGTACTACTTTCCAGTAAGGGAGCAGGTACAGTTACCTCGTCAAGTTTTACTTTCCTCCCACTCACTTCTTTCGAGAGAAACTCCTTCTCTAGAAAGTTTCCGAATTTAGCAACAAAAGTCTTGCCTTTCGGATCGGTGATAGAAGGTGTATCCAATAGTTTCCTTTGGATATCCTATGAAGACGCACTTCTCCGATTTGAGTTTGAGCTTATCAGGATGAAACTTTTCATATAAGCATCGCAACCCCAAATTTAAGAAATGACAGCTTAGGTTTCACCCCAAATTTAAGAAATGACGGCGTGGTGACGATCTTGATGAACTACAGCAGCAGGGCTTCACCTAAACTCCGCTACGGTATTATCGAGGAATATGGTGGCAGGGGGCACCGCACACGGCTAAGGAATCGATCACGTGGATCAACTTGTGTCAACTTGTGTGTTTAGAGGTGCCCCTGCCTCCGTATATAAAGGAGTAGAGGGGGGGAGGCTGGCCGGCCATAGAGGGAGGCGCAGGAGAGTCCTACTCCCTCTGGGAGTAGGATTCCTCCCCCCAATCCTAGTCCAACTAGGATTCCTCGGAGGGGAAGGGAGAGAGGGGGGCCGGCCACCTTCTCCTAGTCCTAATAGGACTAGGGGAGGGGGAAGAGGCGCAGCCACCTTGGGCTGCCCCTTTCTCCTTTCCACTAAGGCCCATGAAGGCCCATATGGCTCCCGGGGGGTTCCGGTAACCCTCCCGGTAACCCGGTAAAATCCCGATTTCACCCGGAACACTTCCGATGTCCAAACATAGGCTTCTAATATATCAATCTTTACGTCTCGACCATTTCGAGACTCCTCGTCATGTCCGTGATCACATCCGGGACTCCGAACAACCTTCGGTACATCAAAATGCATAAACTCATAATATAACTGTCATCGTAACCTTAAGCATGCGGACCCTACGGGTTCGAGAACAATGTAGACATGACCGAGACACGTCTCTGGTCAATAACCAATAGCGGGACCTGGATGCCCATATTGGCTCCTACATATTCTACGAAGATCTTTATCGGTCAGACCGCATAACAACATACGTTGTTCCCTTTGTCATCGGTATGTTACTTGCCCGAGATTCGATCGTCGGTATCCAATACCTAGTTCAATCTCGTTACCGGCAAGTCTCTTTACTCGTTCCGTAATACATCATCTCACAACTAACATATTAGTTGTAATGCTTGCAAGGCTTTATGTGATGTATATTACCGAGAGGGCCCAGAGATACCTCTCCGACAATCGGAGTGACAAATCCTAATCTCGAAATACGCCAACCCAACATCGACCATTGGAGACACCTGTA